CCGGAACATGAACTTGACAAGGAAGGACTAGACTAGTGGAAGCACACACACAAAGGAGAAGAGTTCAACTAAGTAAAAGATCCGGCACAAGGAACTTGACAACGAAGGACTAGACTAGTGGAAAGTACATGCACAAAGAGAAGGGCCAACTACGTAAAGATCCGGAACATGAACTTGACAAGGAAGGACTAGACTAGTGAAAGCACACGACAAAGGAGAAGAGTTCAACTAAGTAAAAGATCCGGAATATAAACTTGACAAGGAAGGATTAGAGTAGTAGAAACACACGCACAAAGGAGAAGAGTTCAACTAAGTAAAAGATCCGGAACATGAACTTCACAATGAAGGATTAGACTAGTGGAAGTACATGCACAAAGGAGAAAAGCTCAACTAAGTAAAAAGATTCGGCACAAGGAACTTGACAACGAACGACTAGACTAGTGGAAAGTATATGCACAAAGAGAAGGGCCAACTAAGTAAAGATGGAATATGAACTTGACATCGAAAGCCTAGACTAGTGGAAAGTACATGCACAAAGAGAAGGGTCAATCAAGTAAAGATCCGGAACATGAACTTGACAATGAGAGACTAGACTAGTGGAAAGCACATGCACAATGAGTAGAGATCAACAAGGTAAAGATCCAGAACATGAACTTGACAATGGGAGACTAGACTAGTGAAAAGTACATGCACAATGAGTAGAGATCAAGAAGGTAAGGATCCGGAACATGAACTTGACAATGGGAGACTAGACTAGTGGAAAGTACATGCACAAAGAGCAAGACCAACTAAGTAAAGATCCGGAACACGAACTTGACAACGAAAGACTAGACTAGTGGAAAGTACATGCACAAAGGAGAGGAGTTCAACTAAGTAAAAGATCCGGCACAAGGAACTTGACAACGAAAGACTAGACTAGTGGAAAGTACATGCACAAAGAGAAGGGTCAACTAAGTAAAGATCCGGAACATGAACTTGACAACGAAAGACTAGACTAGTGGAAAGTACATGCACAAAGAGAAGGGTCAATTAAGTAAAGATCCAGAACATGAACTTTGATAATGAGAGACTAGACTAGTGGAAAGCACATGTACATGAAGGGAAAATCATCCAGAATATTTACATCAAGTAGGAACATGGCAAGGAGATGCTAGGGCTAGATGGAAAGCACATGTACATAGAGGGAAGATCATCCGGAATCATTACATTAAGTAGAAACGTGACAATGAGTCGCCAGAACTTGTGGAAAGTACATGCACATGAAGGGAAGATTATCCGGATCATCACACTAAGTATGAACATGACAATGAGTGACTAGACTAATGACAAGGCACATGCACATGAAGGGAAGATCATCTGGAACATTACACCAAGTAGGAACATGACAAGGAGAGGCTAGACTAACGGAAAGCACATGCACACGAAGGGAAAGATCATCTGGAACATCACATCAAGTATGAACATGACAAGGAGAGGTTAGACTAACGGAAAGCACATGCACATGAAGGGAAAGATCATCTGGAACATCACATCAAGTATGAACAAGACAAAGAGATGCTAGACTAATGAAAAGCACAAGCACATGAAGAGAATGTCATCCGGAACATTACACCAACTAGGAACATGACAAAGAGATGCGAGACTAATGAAAAGCACATGCACATGAAGGGAAGATCATCCGGAATATTGCACCAAGTATGAACAAGACAATCAGTGGCTAGAACTTATGGAAAGCACATGCACATGAAGGGAAGATCATCCGGATCATCACACTAAGTATGAACATAACAATGAGTGGTTAGACTAATGACAAGGCACATGCACATGAAGGGAAGATCATCCGGAACATTACACCAAGTAGGAACATGACAAGGAGAGGCTAGACTAACGGAAAGCACATGCACATGAAGGGAAAGATCATCCGGAACATCACATCAAGTATGAACATGACAAGGAGAGGCTAGACTAACGGAAAGCACATGCACATGAAGGAAAATATCATCCGAAACATCACATCAAGTATGAACAAGACAAAGAGATGCTAGACTAATGAAAAGCATATGCACATGAAGGGAAGATCATCCGGAACATTACACCAAGTA